GAGCCCCAGGGAATTTTAGGCATGCACCACTGAAGCCACTTCTCTTTCATTTTGATGTGTCATTTATTTATTTATTCACTTGCTCAGTCAACGAATAACTCCTGTTTAGGGCCTCCTCTGGGGAGGTCACTCTTCCGGTCACTGGGTACAACTTGAACAAAAATAGACTGTTCCCTATGGATAACATATTACTTATTTAACAGATGTTCCTGCTTGGTGAACTTTGGCCAGCCAAACAGGGTGAATGCAAGTCCCAAGATTAGGTAACACACACAAAGCCATTCCATCACCAGGTTGCAAGTACTCATCCCAAGACCAGAACGGTGACAGTTGCAAAGAAGAAACTTCCCTTTTCAAGCACCCCTGAAATCCAGCAGCTCAGAAGGCTGAGGCAAGAGGATCATGATTTTGAGGCCAGCCTCAATAACTTAGGGAGGCCCTAAGCCACGTAGAGAGACCCGGTCTCAAAATAAAACATTAAAAAGAGGCAAGACTTGGGTCTGGGCGACTCAGAGGCAGAGGGACGGAAGTTTGGACTCTTTCAATGCAAGTCCATGAGCCCACTACAGGGTGGTGGGTCAAAGGCCAGTCTAAGAGCCACAGAAGGGTCCTAAATGGCACCATTGGGGGGGGGCAGGCTGCCCTTGGGTCCTGCCCTGGGGGCTGCGGGTGTGGGGAGGAATACGTTCCTGGCCTGAGAGCCCAGAGGAGCAGCTGCTGGCCCATCCCAACCCTGAGGTTCCAAAGTGGCAGCTACTTCTACTGCTGCTGCTGTTGGCCCCTTCTCTCCTACCACCTGCCACGGGTTGAACTGTGCCCTCTCCCACCTCCCAAATAGATCTGTTAAAGTTCTTACCCCAGGACCTCGGAATGTGATCTTATTAGAAATAGGGTAGTCACAGATGTGACTTAAGATGAGGCCATATTGAAGTAGGGTAGGCCTGAGTCCAACATGATTTGTGTCATCATGAGTTCATGGCATGTGAAGACAGACACACTGGGAGAAGAACACCATGTGACACGCAACGACAAAAGCAGAAAGTGGAGGGACACCGTGGCAAACCAAAGAACCCTGAAGGTGGCAGAGATTCCTCTGCAAATTAAAGAGGCAGCATGGCCCTGCAGATGCCTTTATTTCAGACTTCTGGGCCTGGAACTGTGTGAGAGAAAAAAAATTCTGTGGTACTACTTTGTTACAGCATCTCCAGGAGTCTCATACACACTCCCTCCCGGTTTTTATTAGGTGGCGGCGAAGGTTCATTCATTGTGAAGCTCAGAAAGGGTAACAGACCCCTTCCTTGGCTCTGTACTTCATTTTGTGTTTGCAATTTTGTATTCTTTCTTTTTGTAAGAGTACTCCCCACCCCTATCAAATAGATTCAGATGCCACAAAACCTAGGTCTGGGAAGGGTCCCCAGTTATCACCCTGTTGGTGCCCTGCCCAGGCCCACCTCTGCCTAGGGAAGAGTCCCAGGGCCTCAGCAGGGCGGGACCCCATTCCCTCTAAGGTTTGCTCCGTAGCTGTCCTCCATGTCCCCAGGGCGTTGGAAAGAGAGGTGGTTTTAGGCTTTTGTCGCAGAAGCCTGAGCTAGAGGACTTCCTGGGGATTGTCCTGGCCAAGGCTCCATTACAGTCACTTTCCTCCCACACCTCAGTGGGCATGAGTTAAAATCTCCCACAGGCAGCCACAGCGCGAGCGGGCAGCTGACTTGCCACGCAGGCAGTGCCCTGGGACAGGCCATGCCCAGGGACAGGGACAGGCCTGGTGCTTCCAGTCTGGCTGCTCTCATTCCCGCCCGTCCTGCTTCGTGGCTTCCCCACCTCCACCCAACCCGACCTCATTCTCTACATTCAGATCAGCAGAGACTGCAGAAATGCTCTCGCCAGGCACCCAAGACACACCCCTGTCTCCATGGGAGGTCTCTTTAGCCCATCTCCCCACCTCCAGGCCCACCCTAACTCACAGCACTGCGACAAACAGGCGGCATCTAGTCTGTGGGAGGTGATGGGGATCCCTTGACCTGTGGTACGTGGGTCCTGAGAAAGTCACCATGGAGGGGGCAGCTGACCTGCACATAATAACCACCCTGGCCAAGAATAGCTAGAGATCGAGGTGGATGTTCCTTGAGTAAACAGTGTGCGTTCTAGCAGCTTAAGAGTGTCAATTATTATTATTATGGGTACCAGGAAATGAACCCAGGGGTGCTTAACCACTGAGCCACACCCCAGCCTCTTTTTATATTTTATTTAGAGACAGGGTCTCATTGAGTTGCTTAGGTCCTCACTGAGTTGCTTGGGGTCTCAATAAGTTGCTGAGGCTGGGTTTGAACTCGAGATCCTCCTGCCACAGCCTCCTGAGCCCCTGGGCTTATAGGCCTGGGCCACCATGCCTGGCAAGAGGAACAATTCATTCCTATTTGGGTGTTGACTTAGAGGGTAGTAGAATCAAACCTATTGAATAGAATTGAGGGCCCACAGCGCTCAGGAAGCCAGTCCCTGGAGGGCCCTTCAGCTGGGCTGAAGGGAGACCTGGGACCTGCAGGGAAGGCCCAGGTGGCTGGCGACCTGGGAGGGCTCAGGCCAGCTAAGCTCTGCCACTTGGAAGCAGAGCATCTTGCCACCTGACCCTGCCCACAGACGTCAGCCCTGCAGACTGGAGGCTGGGCACATGTGCGGCTGCCATTGGCTCCTTCCCCTGGAAAAGCTCTTCCTTCCCTTCCAGAACAGCCTCTCGCAGTGCCATCTGCTTCTTCTCACTCTGTGTCGCAATGACACCACCTGCCTGCCATGAAAGAGGGTATTGTCTTTCCACCTGAGCCTCCTACACCTGGGTGGGGATAGCAGCGGGTCCCCATGCCAGGGCACTTTCCCACGGGGCCTCACGCTGGGAGCAGCTCAGGTGCTCGTGGGGAGGGAGGTGGGGTGCCTCCTGGACCGGGA